ATTGCTCCCATTTTTGTGTGTGTGGTGCTGTTGGATTCTTTGTGCCATATAATTTTTGTTGTTGTTCCATATAATTTTGTATGCTGGGTTCATTTTGTGGGTTTTCTTTTCATTTCTGTTGTGTTGATATTTACTGAATCTGATTTTATTTTTATTTTCATGTGCAGGTGGTACTATTTTTGAGGTTGCCCTGTAATTAATTCACACACACACACACACACACACACACACACACCCCACTGATTAACACTTTATCTTGAAATCTACTTGACTTCTTGCCATTTGGAGTTTCAGTATCTACACTATTCTTTTTTCTTTGTTGTTGTTAAGTGCTGTTAAGTCAGTTCCTACCCATAGCAATCCTGAATAGGATATCTGAGGAGTGGCTGGTGAGCTTGAACTACCGACCTTGTGATTCTAACTGACTTTACGGTCCAGTGCATTAACCCACAGCACCATACCAGATTTGTAGTTGACTTCATTATACATTGATATCTCTGGTCCCCTATTTTCAGTCTTGTTGTTGTTAAGTACCATGGAGTTGGTTCCAACTCATAGTGACCCTGTACAGGGTTTCTGAGGCTGTAAATCTTTAAGGGAGCAGAAAGCCTCCCACGGAACTGCTGGTAGTTTTGAACTGCTGACCTTGAGGCCAGTAGCCCAATTCATAACCACTACGCTACCAGAACTTCTTTTTCAGTCTTGTCGATGTCTTAAATACTTTATATCTGGATTGGAGTCTTGGTGTGGTGCTGTGGGTTAATTAGCTGGACTGCAAAGTCAGTTTGATCAGCAAGGTTGGCAGTTCCAGCTCACCAGAAGCTCCTCGGAAACCCTACACAGCGTCCCTATGGGTCGGGACCAACTTAACGGCACTTAATAACAGCTGGATTGAGTTCTGGGTGGTGTAGTCATGTATGGTAATCTCAGGTTGTTGTCTGTTGTTGGTTCTCAGTCCAAAGACCACATGTTAGCACTTTTTGTAAATTTTGTTGTTACAGATTCCTCTGTTTATCAGGAAACATCTTAATTTCACTGCCCTATTTCTTGTCTTTGATTTTGGTAAGTTTGATTATATATCTTGGGTGATTTTCTTTTGGGATCTGCTTTTTTTTAGCTTCTTGTATGCCAATCTTCTTGTTTTTCATGTTAGGGATGTTTTCTTCCAGCAACTCTTTAATTTCTCTTTGCTTTTCTCTTCCTGTTCTGGAATTCCAATCACTCATAAAGTTGTTCCTTTTCATGGTGTCCCACATAACTCTTAGACTTCTTCAGTTTTTTTTCCTTTTTTCTGATGGTTCTAGCATACTAGTGTTGAGAGACTGATCTTCAAGTTCACTAATTTGGGCTTCCATTACTTCACATCTACTCCTTTGCCCTTTCAATGTGTTGCCCATTTCTGAGATCTTACTATTAATCTTCTGGATTTCTAATGACAGGTTTTACATTATTTTAAAATTTGCATTTATTAGTTCTTGTAGTGTTTTCCTGAATTCTTCTAAAATTTTTATTGTACTCTCGTTTACTTTGATCTATAAATTCTTATTCTTTTGGATTTTTTTCAGTTCCATTACCTTTCTCAAAAGTGTTTACTTGCTCTGCATGTTGGTCACTTGAGTCATCTGTGTGAGCTAAAATTTTGTCTCCAGGGCATTTTGGTGTTGTCATAAATTTGTAAAAACAAACTTGTTGGACCTAGAGAATAGACATTTCTGGGGGTTCCTATAATTCAAAGAGCTCAATCAAGGTGGTTGTAGAAGGGATGTGACATAGAGTTCCTGGCCCTAGATGGAGTTCCTATTGTCCTGGATGTTACCTGTCAGGAAATAGTTCATGGGAGCCCTTGATGGGCTGGTTTCAGTGTCTTGTTAGGACCACAGGGAAGCTGGGGGCAGAGTGGTTTAATGCTGGTTTGTTAGCTTTGTGGGTTTTGTAGGTCTGCAGCCACCTGAATCCAGGCAAGGCAAAACACCAAAGCAACCCCACATCAGTGTGGCCCCCAACTCCCAGAGAACAGGGTCTGCACTAGAGGTGGATGAGGATGGAAGCTGGCCACTCTTCAGGTCATCAGGGGAGTATTAAGTGACGTCAAATCGATTCCAACCCATAGCAACCCTGTATAGGGTTTCTGAGGAGCAGCTGGTGAGCTTGAGCCACCAACCTTGCAGTTCAAATGGCTTTGCAGTCTGGCGCATTAACCTACAGCGCCACACCAGGACTCCAGGGGAGCACTGTTGTTAAGTACTGTGGAGTCAGTTCCCACTCAGTGACCCTGCACAGGGTTTCCGAGGCTGCAAATCTTTACAGGAGCAGAAAGCCTTATCTTTCTCCTGCGGTAGTTTCGAACTGCTGATTTTGCGATTAGCAGCCCAATTCGTAACCACTATGCTACCAGAGCTCCTTAGAGAAAAGTGAATTACACCTTTTCTGTCATCTGAGCAAATTTGCTCTCCAGGCAGGCTTCCCTATGCTGCCCAATCTGCTCACATGATGGTTGAGCTGTCTGGCCAACCATTCAACAGTCAAGTCTCCCTTTTTAACCTTTCTTCTGAAGTTCATGGTGCCAGAATTCTCATGTCTGTCTCATATTTTTGTTGTAGACTACATGTAGAATGTCAGCCTTCTTGCTCATAGCTACACTTCTTGGCTTTTCCCTGTACATACTTCCTTCATCACCAAAAGTCCTATTGGAATGAGGCTGGTATAACAGCAAGGCCATTTGAATCTGAACTTACATTTATCTCTGAAGTGGTGGTTGTCAGATTTTAGCACACGTACTAATCACCTAGTCTGATTTGGTAAATCTGTTGAGCGCCTCAAATCAATTAAGTTCCTATGCGAGATTGATGCTGCTAGTACAAGGAACAAAAGACTCTGTTAACTGCTAATCCTCATGCTCCATATGGTCCAACTAAAGCTGTATCTCAAGGGTTGAGTCCTAGGTACTCATATTTCCAGTGTTCCCCTTGATTTTGATAGTTTAGGAGCATCTCATTCAACATAAAGCACAGGGGTATCAAATAATAAAAGCTACTGGATTTGAGAAGGAGCTCCGGTAGCATAGTGGTTACCAATTGGGCTGCAAACTGCAAGGTCAGCAGTTCGAAACTACCAGCTGTTCCGCGGGAGAAAAGATGAGGCGTTCTGCTCCTGTAAAGATTTACAGCCTTGGAAACCCTATACAGGGTCGCTATGAGTCCGTTCCAACGCCACGGCACTTAACTGGATTTGAGATTAAGAAATTTACAATTCTAAATTCTTCACATTATCAATAAAATTATCCAGTGTGTAACCAAATGACAAGACCATTTGGTGTTAAATGCAAACCAAAAATGTTGTCAGGTGCCATTGAGTCGGAACCGACTCATAGCAACCCCATGCACAGCAGAACGAAACAATGTCCGATCCTGGGCCAACCTCACTACCGCTGCCACACTTGAGTCTATCAATGATGCCACCTGGCCAATCCATCTCGTTAGGGGTCTTCCTCTTTTTCTCTGACCCTCCACCTTACCCAGCATGGCATCCTTCTCCAGCGACTTGTTTCCTCCGGACAGTATGTCCAAAATAGGAAGAATAGGGTAATCTTAAAACAAGTTGTTGCCATGCCCATATCTGTCTCTCCAAATCCCACTGCAGTGATTGTCCTGTATCTTTTTATCGTTTGACTGATTCTTTACCTCCAGACCCATGAACATTTGTGCACAATATTTCTGAAACGTATTAATTCAAGTATTTACTAAATTTTCACAAAAGGCACTGTGTTGGAATTGTTGTAGGCAATGTCCTACTCTTGACATTTTGGTAAGGACATTCAACCTGAGACTGGCTAGATCATGGTATTAAGTTTAGAGGTAAGATACTACCCAAAAAGCTTGGTACCTCATCCATCACTTAGGCTTGAACTAATCAAGTTTATGTGTTCAAACACAAAATATATTTTTAAAATTATGAACATCTTTAGAAGGCAAGATGGAATCATAAATTCACTTAGCTCTACCATTGTAATGCCCCATAGCTGATATTTAGCTAGGAAGTTCATCTATAACAATTTTTAACTACCAGAACTGATACACAAAAGTAATTTTTCATGAGAAGGATATCAGGGCCTTTGAACATTTTCCTCCTAAAGCCAAGAACTACAAATCAATCATGCTGGTTTCTTTTGGCCTGCTTTAAATAAAGGTTGATGACTTTGCATTTCCTAACAGGGCCATAACCTAAGCTATACTTCTATAACTAAATAGCTGAATGTCAAGTACAGGTTTTCTAGCTGTAGCAGTTAAGAAAATGGTTTTAAATACTATTCTATCAGGCATACACTAAACAGTGGGAGGGATAATGGTTGCATCCCCCACCCCCGTTATTAAGTGCCATTGAGTTGGTTCTGACTCATAGCGACCTTGGATAGGGTTTCCAAGGAGTGATCCGTGGGTTTGAGCCGCTGACTTTTACATTAGCAGTCCAGTGCTTGTCCTACAGTGCCATATCAGAACTCCTTAATCTCTTACACACTTATATCTCTTACACTTTTCACCTATTAAGTTATTGTTCTAAAATGTGTTCAACCTTTGTTTAGCCTATCCTGTAAGCTAAGCACAGCAATCACCAAAGATGAATCTTGGTATTCCCAAAACACAGGTTTATAATAAATATATGAAGAAATGCTGAAACACAAGTCATTGCAATGCTATGACAAATACAACTGGAGGTAATAAAAACTGCCAAGATGTAGAAGGCTCAAAGATTTAAAGGAGGACAACGCATTTAGTTTTATTTCAATCAAATCACAACACTTTCTTTTCCAACTGCTGCAAAGTCCAGCTACAATTTCCCTTTACAGATCCACTTTAAAAAGGTTTCCTGTGAACATTACAGCAAGTCTATTTAAACAGAGGATTATTCCCAAATTCTTCCTCAAAAATATAAACTCCATTCTAGTAAATGGCAATAATACATGAAATTACAGTAAACCAGACACTTAAAAGGACAGCCAAGAGGTCTTCCAACAGTTTATTAGAAAGAATGTAGATATTAAAAAAAAATCCCCACTGTCATGAACACAAATTGAGGTTTTTCAGCCTTGGTATAAGCTGAAGCAAAAAAGAAAAATAAAAACAAAAAACAAAATCCAATAGTGTACTAACATTGTTTCACTTATTTGCCATACTGACAGTGAAAATACAAATTTGGTCTAAATGTACAGACTCTCAAGCAACAATGTACAGCCTTTCTTCGTCCTCCATGCTACGAGATGTAAAAGCTTCAGGGTCAAACAATACCAAATGTACAGGCTTCAAAAACCATCTAAGGCAGTCACTAGTTTTAGCTAAGATACATTTGGAACACTGACAAGTGATCACTTACGTACAATAATATGAAGTAAAATTTCTTGAAAAATAAAAACTTCAGTGGAACAATTCTGAATATATACCAGAGGAACAGCAGGTTACCAGTTTACAGTGTCAGCCAGTTTATTTCTGCAACTTTGAACCAAGTTCTAAAATCTAAAATTTAGTTATCTTCCCCTAAGCTGAGAGCTTCCTATCATGTCAGTATCTATGTTATGAAGTAAAGGAGACTTAGGTGAAATGTTTTATTTATTACAACTGCTGAATCAATTGCCTAAGATCTCAACAGCTTCATGGAAGTCTGGGAAATGTTCATGCATAAGGTTATTGCCTTAGCGGACTTAAAATTGCCCCCATACAATGGTACATATCAACCCTTAGTGAAGCCTTTTAAAAAACAAACAGTTTGAAAAATGGGTTAAAGAAGGCAAATACAGCATCTGCCTTTATAGCTATCAATTCAGGAATTCTTCAATTATGAAATCTTGCAGAGAAGTTATTTTTCTTTCTCAAAATCCTGGTGACAATTATTTCTTACTCCAGATCTGGCATTTCTGGAAAAAAAACACAAAATTATTATCAAGAACAAGGGCATGATGTATCAGTTTTTAAAGTCTTCTTGGAAAATAAGCAAACACAAGAGTAAAAAAATAGCTTCCTAATTAATGGGCTGTCTCACGACTTCAAACAAATTTCTACACTGGCTATTTAGAAGTCATAATGAAAAAAAAAAATCACCCCCACTGTTATGAAGTGAACTTCTCTATCTTGAGACTTGGATCTTTGATATGGTACATTGCTATGTAAACATACTTTAAAAAAGGAACTTACTTTCATCATCACTGTCTTGTGAGTCCTAAAGAAGGTGAGAAAAATAAAGTTACTAAGTTGATTGAACAAGAACAATCACTGCTAACTCAACAGTTTACTTTAAAGTTGAAACACTGTACTTTTGACTAGAGTCGCAAAGGCAAGTGGTTATAGTAACCCTAGGATTTAAAAATTGGACTTCAGAACGTAGTTTAACATACAAGATGAACAGATTCAGAACTTCCTTATAAAAGTTGGTGAGAATTTAGTCCATTCTCTGACAATCAGACTAAATACTGATACAAAATGTATGTATGTCCTTCTATTCTCTCTTCGCATTCAAATGGAGGTGTGTGTGTGTCTCAATATGAAGATAACTGAACTGAAAAGACACTGAACACTAATCCTAGTACTGGATTAGTCCAAGAAACTATTTTCCAAAATGTATTAACAATTTTCTAGAAGATGTGAACAGAATGCTGAGGGAAAATCATTCAGAAAGTGGGCTAGTATTCCTCCTCTTATTATTCATAACATCCACTGTTTATTATACTCTTGATTAGTCTGGCTGTAAAATTAGCTTTTCATTCTTATTCTAAAACGACAGGCAAATTAATCACTAAATTTGCTCTTAACTGAATAGGGCATATGATGTTTCAATGCAGTAATTCTTTTGAAATCTATTTCTTTTAAAATTATGGTTCATGGAACACAAGTTCCCTAGTAGGTACCCATCCCACAAAAATGGGCACATTAAAAAAACTGCTTTTTCCTTTTTGAATTTTTTCTTTAGGAAAAACAAGTGGCAAAAAAAAAAAAATATCAGTCTTGAGTCTATAAAACAACCTTTAAATACATTGTTTCTTACTATTAAAGTAAACAGATAAAAGAATTTATAGACTTACATCATCTGCTCCATCTACTTCTGGTAAATCTACATCCTCATCACCACCCATGTTGTTCATCATCTATTTAAAGTGTAAAAATTAGTTTAAAAATGTTAAATTAAGCCCTAGTTATTAGGCTGCATGTCCCAGAATAAACCTTAAGTCTAGCATAGATTTCCACAAATGAAAAATGCAAAATAAACAAGCATCTTCCTTTCTGGAAAAAGGTAGATTATATGTAATCACATAAAATCTTAAAAGTTATAGTAAATTAGCAGTAAGTTGTCACTGAAGAAAGTGAAGACATAGAAAAATACCTATGTAGGAAGCAGAAATTAAGCATTAAATTAAAAAAAAAAGTGGTTATCTATAACCACGAAAGAAAAAATATGGGATTCATTTATAAATGAAGTCTTATATCTCAAGCTACATGGCATGTATTTTATGCTACTTTCATTACAGTTTTAAATATTGTGAAGAACCAATAAAAGATTTAAAATATAAAGATGTTAGAAATAACTGATTCATATAAAAGGTCTGATTGAATCGAAGACTGAGCATCAGTAACTATAAGCTGAAAACAGCAAGTAAAGCCTTCTTTACAGAAATAGAAAAATCAATCCTCAACTTTATATGGAATAGCAAAAGGCTCCAAAAAACTAAAACAACGTTGAAAGAGGAAAAAAAAGTAGAAGGGCTCACACACTCTAATTTTAAAACATACAATCAATACCTATTCTTACCTATAAACTATCTTATCATCTGACAATTTACATTTACAATAGTGAAAAACCTACAACTTTGCACATGAAATACCTACTCCTTGCTGTGACAAACTCTAAAAGTCACAAGGCAAATGTAAGGTTATATATGTCAACTTGGCTATCATGATTCTCAGTGGTTTGACAAAAAGTGAGAAGGAGCAAAAGCAGGATTGGAAAGTGGATTTCCAATAACTTTCCATTGAAATGCTTGCAAAATTGCCTGTTTGATGAGAGGAACAAGCAGGAGTGCATTGTGGTGGTGGAAAAGTACTCTCTTGTGAAGCTTTCCTGCTAAGTCTTTGGCTTTCTCAAAACATTCTCATAGTAAGCAAATGCCATTATTTGTACCCAAAAGTCAATAAGCAAGATACCTTGAACATTCCAAAAAATTGTTGCCATGACCTTTGCTCTTGACCAGTTTGCATTTGCTTTGGCTGGATCAATTCCCTTGGTAGCCATTGCTTTGATTGTACTTTGTTTTCAGGATTGCATTGGTAAAGTGTCATCTCTCATTATAATTGTCCCAAGAAATGCTCCAAGATCTTGATCCATTTGCTTTAAATTTCCCACCGAAAGTTCTGTTCTTATCTATAAGCTGAAGCACTTGAGATACCTAATGGTGTTGGCTAGTGTTTTTTTTTGCTGTTAAATCACTGGTTCTCATCAATTAGAGTACAATCAAGGTTAATTTTTTCATTGCAAACAGATTTGAACGGTAGTCTGTATCTTCAACATTTTTTCCTCCCCCCTTCTTAAAGCAAGTTACCCATTTATGGTGTTGTTATGTGTCGTGAGTGTCGGTTCCGATCCATAACAACCCTGTGTAGGGTTTCTGAGGAGCAGTTGGTGAGCTTGAACCACTGACCTTGTAGTTAACACAGCTTTGCAGTCTGGTGCATTACTCATTTATGAAACTGATTTCTTTGGAACACTGTTTTCATAAAGCATGTTCTTTCACCCAAGCTTCACCATAAATTAGTTTGTTCTTGCTTAAATTTTAACAGAATTTAAGCTGCTCTGATAGGGGCTCTTTTCAAACTGATGTCTTATCTGCATAGTTTTTTCACTAACATGCATTTTCTATAACCTTTTTAGAGCCTTCATAAAAATTTAAAACTTTTGCCCACCAAAAGACATTAACAGTGAAAAGACCAACTAGGAGAATATCTTCAGAAATCACCTATCTGACAAGAATCGAATAACCAATATATATAAAAAACTGACAATATAACACCAAAATCAGACAAACATCCAATCATGAAATGGGATAAGGACTTGAATATTTCACCAAAAAGAACATTCAAATTGCTACCAAGTACACGAAAAGATGGTCAGAGTCAGTAGTTATTAGTGAGATACAAATCAAAACAACAACGCGCTATCCATTACACCCCCTTTAGAGTGGCTAAGAAAAACAAAACAAACAGGAAGTAACAAATGTTGAGATGTGAGGAAATTGGAGCCTTTATTATTTTATTGTTAAAAGTACACAATGGTAAAACCTTTCTAGAAAACCCTGTGGCATTTCTTCAAAGAACCAAAAATAAAACCATATAAAGCCAACACTCCACTCTTACCAAGAAGACTGGAAAACTGACACTTGAGAAATGAAACCTTGACACATGCTACAGTATGGATGGAGTCCTTGTGTGTCACTGTGGATTAATGAGCTGGACTATAAGGCTGTTTTGAACTGCAAGCTTACCAGCTGCTCTTTGGAAACCCTATACAGGGTTGCTAGGAGTTGGAACTGACTCAAAGGCACTTAACAAAACATGGATGGAGTCTGAAGACATTACACTGAGTAAAATATGTCAATCACAAAAGAAATATTTTATGACCTCACTTATATAAAATGACAGGAAAAAGCAAATATATAGAGACCAAAGTTTATTAGTTGTTGTCAGGAGGGAGAGGGGAAAAGGGAATTAAAGGTGATGGGAAAATCAAACTGATTAAGGGTAAGGCAGGCTATACCGCCAATTATATTTGCAATTGCTGTCAAGTTATACACTTGTACAGAGTTGAATTGGCAAAAGTTGTGGGATAAATCTGAGGGAGCTTCAAAAAGTTGGTGGAAAACATTGAACTGAAAGGTAATGGAATTTTACACCAACTTCTTAACACTCCCACTTCATGTATTTATGACAAAAGGAAGAGAAGAGAAGAGATGTTGAGGCTTGTTATATTCAAACAAACACTTCAAGAGATTTGATTCCTTGGTTTGGAGGTTTGGGTCATGGTTTCATGTGACATCTCAAGATACTTGCCTAATAATATGCTTAGTGTTTATATTCTACCTCTAGTTTGCGGCAAAAGGCCCGGGTCTTAAAAGCTTGAAAGTAGTCATCCAACCTATAGCAATTTGTTTCTATTCATCTGGAACAACACAGGAAGGAGAGTCGGAAATAGGAAAAGGATGTGGAAGGTGTGAGTAATTACTTCCATGAACAAATCTTCTTTGCTAAGAGACCAGAACTAGATTAGATGGTGCTTGACTACCATTACTAAATATTTTGATAAAAGATTCATTCCATAGTAGAATCTTGGTCAAAAGGGGAGAGAAATGCAGAACAGAATTTCAAATACTCATGGACTTTCCAGAGCCATGAAACCAAACAGCTGTTTGCCTTAAGCATTATGCTTTTAAAAGAACTAACTATATATTGGATCAAATTGACAATAATACCTTAAAAGATTAGAAAAGAACCTTAGGGGTTAGCAAGTTTATGTTGATGAGAGAAAAACTTAGAAAAGGAGGGTGAAAATGGTTGTATATAATTCAAAGAAAGTAATCGATGTCACTGAATTATACATGCAGAAACTGTTGAACTGGTATATATTTTGCTATGTGTACCGACAACAAAATGTTTTAAATTAAAAAAAAAAAAAAAAAGGCAAGTAAATGTAATTCTGCGTGGAAAAAATCGTTGTATAATGCCCTTATATACATAATAAACTGGCACTAAGAAACTTGTTGTCTGGCACACTCACATAAAGTAAGATATCTTGTTTCTAATCGTAGAGCAAGCAGTATGTTATTTGAAGAGACACAGATAACCGAAGACTAAACATGTATCAAAAAAGAAACTTACCTTATAATTGAAAATGTTTATGTTTAAATTTCAGAAAGGTATGGGACACAAATTTGCTCTGTAAAGTTTCAGCCATCTCCTCTCCTCACACAATATATATATCTTTAACATATCCACCCATAGCTTTGCAAATAAAATTGAAACATTTTGCCATGTATATGTTTAATAGTGAAATGATAAATTTAAAAAAATTCCTGGGAAAACTTAAGAGTATAGTTTCCCTAACTCCAAAAACATTGCTGAATATTACTACATTTCTTTGTGCAGGAAAAATGTACTTAAGTTCAAGGATTATGGCTAGATGTTGAGGATACAGTGGCAGTAAAGCTAAACAGAACTAAATATATTCAAGACCTTTTTCAAAAGTGAAAAGTAAATGAAAACCAGAACAAGTCAAAGAACAAAAAGATAGGTGATGTTATATTAGACACTGGGAGTCAAAGTAGACTAGTGTTCCAGTGCCAACTTGCACAACTAGATAAATGGTGAGATCAATCAACCACCGAATGTTAGGAATAACACAGTTGAGAAAAATAAAACCACAGGAATATGGTCTCTCTCCCCTCATCAGGCTGAGCTATGTGAGATGTTAAATAAGCAACTGCATACACACAGGGCTGTAAATTTAATGACACTTTTTCCTCAAAGTTTTCAGAGCAGAAATATAAGATAACAGTTTTTACATGGGTACATCTATAACTTACAACCTAATGTCCTTTTTTATAATCAGTTTTACTCTAATACATTTGACAGGATCTATTCTATCTAAAGAGAACCTTTAATTTTTTCTTTGTGGTTAATACATATTTGGTTGACATTTTGGGAGACAGGCTTACTGGTTTTCAAACTAAAAATATCCTGATACAACTCTCAGTGCCTCACACCTTGATTATGAGTCGAGTGTATAAAGGTTTATATTCAAATTGTTGCTGTTAAGGGCCATCAAGTCTGTTCCTACTCATAATGACCCTCTACAGGGTTTCCAAGGAGACGCTGGTGAATTTGAACCACTGACCTAGCTATTAACAGTCCAGTGCTTAACTCTCCAGTGCCACACCAGGACACAATACGTGGTTTCCAAATGCAAGTCGATTACTGTATTTGTGCTCAAATTAAAACCAGCTATGTTGGAATGACTATTATAATTATTTTTTCACCATTACACATCAACTTTAAAGTAATTAAATAAAATCATGAAAGAATATTAAGATTCTTTTTTTGGTGCTACTGCAGAATGGTCTTACAAACAGGAACTTAAAAAAAGCAAATCAAACAAGCTGTATTATGAAAGGGGAAGAATGCACTTAAAAGAACTTACCTCAGAGAAACGGTCAAAATTAGACATGTCTTCATCGGAATCATCTTCCCAGTCTTTCCAATTATTGAAGTCCACACTAAGCCAATTAAGCTATTAACCAATACAAACAGCACCATATGATTAGGTTATTTTGAACTCACTGCCATGTGCTTTAATACTATATTTTTCAGTATCAACAACAGTAACAAAAATCCACTACCATGGAGTAGTAAATTCTGACTCATTGGGAAATGTTTCCCATAATTGTTATGTATCTAGTTGTGCATACTAGATTGTGATGCAATGGTCTATTTTTTTACCCTGGTCACTGGCAGAGTTTGACAGTCACGCATTAGGAAGTACTTTTACAAATGTAACACTACAAAATCTGGTGAGCATTACTGATGTAGTTTCTTGAGAAAATAAATTTTCACTTTCTAAACTATACCAACAATGAAAAAAATCTGTTAATAGGATCTAACCTGTTACTTGAAGAAAACAGGTTTGTGCCATTAATTTTTTTCCAATGGCACCAAGATATGCTTCCACATGATAGCTGAATAAGGCTTTTAATCAAAGTCTGCCTCTTGAAAACAAAAGATTTCACCTTAACCAGTAAATTGATCGTATTCTGATCATATTTGACACTAAGTTTAAAACTAATAAATCTGAAAGTAGAAAAAGCTATACAGCTATGAAACATAAACAAAGTATTATTTATGCTGAACAAATACATCATTCATTACTTAAATACAGTAAACGTTCAAATGTAAGAAACCTACCTTTGCTCTTTCTTTTGTTAACCTTGGCCATGACTGGCCAGATTCTCCTTTTCGTAAACAACATAAGATAGATCTGTCTGTTCTTTTATGCTTGGAATCCTAAAAACAAAAACAAAAGCACCATCACACCATTTCTTTCTCCAGTATCACTAAAGTACATAAAGCCGCTTGTCATTACCCACTTGTCCTTTATAATATACTGTCTTTCACTAAATACTGTTTAGACTTTGAAAGAAATATCCCCTAAATGAAAAACTTCACAAACTAGCCAATTCAAAATCAGGTAAAGCATCAAGACTACTTACATTTGGATCAATACAGTGAAAAAGATCAATTTCATTTAGATGTTTAAAATTATCGCTTCCTCCAAGACAACTGTAAAAGTAAAATAAAATAAAATAAGCCTCAACAAAAAGGTCAAGATTAGTAGTAACTTCAGTAAAACAAGCAAAGACAAAGTCTTCAAATGTTTAAAATAAGTTTTTAAACCAATAATATAAAACAGTAATTACCTGAATGTAAGTTTGGATTTCTCAAAATTTACATTAACATCTTTACTGTCTTCGACACAGAATTCAATAAAGACATAGTCCCTTCGATCGTACCACTTTGCAGAAGCAGGCTGCCTATAAAGAGATAAAAGTTAGACAAAATCAGCTGGAAGGCATTAACTAGATATTTACATAACCCCTTAAGTTTAGCAGCTTGGAATACATGTTCTCCTACTCCATTTTAGGAGTCCTGGTGTGGCGCTGTGGGTTAATGCACCAGACTGCAAAGCCGTTTGAACTGCAAGGTTGGTAGTTCAAGCTCACCAGCTGCTCCTTGGAAACCCTATACAGGGTTGCTATGGGTTGGAATCAACTCGACGGCACTTAATAACTCCATTTTAGCACTGATTATTCTGAAGCTGTTTATTACAACTTCAAAATATAATAGCTACATTACAAGTAATACTGCACAGTGATCTATTGAGGTGTACAGTTCTAGAATGATCACATTAATTTCCTAACAGGAGGAATTACATTAACCATCTAACACAAAGCAAGCAGATTTAGGTCCTACTTCTTTTTGTTGTTATGCGCCCTGAAGTCAGTTCCGACTCATAGTGACCTTGTACAGGGTTTCCGAGGCTGTAAATCTTTACAGGAACAGAATGCCTCATCTTTCTCCTGAACAACAGCTGGTAGTTTCAAACTGCTGACCATGAGATTAGCAGCCTGATTCGTAACCACTTCGCTATCAGACCTGCTAAAATTCAATCATACAGCATTAATGAACAAGGTAACTAAATTACTGTCAACCGAAAAATATTATCCAACATCTTTACTTAGAATACTAGCAACTGTGAGGGGAATGAAAAAATATGGAAAATCATCTGGTTTAAACATACACAAACACATCATCTGCAGCATTAAAAAAAAAAAAGTTTTATTGTGAATTATGTAATAGTTTACATGGGAGAACATTAGTTTTACATACATCCTATATTGTTTCATTGCCATGGTTACAATCCCTTCCATGCATCATCACCCAAAGTGTATACACTATAAGCCTACCCCCCCACCCAGTTGTGAGCATACAGCCCCTCTCCCTCTCTGTGTCTAAAGTCCACAGTGCAGCATATTTTTGACTACATGAAGCAATGGGGGGTGGAGAGGGGGCACACAAACAAATCATCCTATTGTATTTTTAATGATTCTACTTTGACAATAGAGTCCTGGTGTGGCAAAATAGGATAAATACTTGAGCTCAAGTCTGCGGTTCAAACTTACCAGACACTCCTTGCAAAACCTATACAAGGTCACTGAGTCAGAACCAACTAGATGATATTTAACAACATTGCTGTGAGGTATCATGGAGTTATTTTGACTCACAGCCACCCTATGTGACACAGTATAACTGTGCCACCTACACAATGTCAGCAGTTCAAGCTGCTCCATGGGAGAACATGAATGAGGCTTTCTGTTCCTGAGAAGATTTAAAGCCTTAGAAACCCTACACAGGGTCACTATGAGTTGAAACCAACTCAATGGCACTTAACAATAACCTTCAGGAAGCTCGCCCTGGCATTCTGCTTCCATAAAGACTACAGGCTATGAATCGTACTATGAATGGAACAGAGTCATTGACAATTTATGGGAGCAGACTGCCAGGACTTTTCTCTAGTAGAGCCTCTGGGTAAGTTTGAACCACCAATCTTTTGGTTAGCAGCTAAGGGCTTAAATGCTTTGCCACTAGGGGAGCTCCTATTGCTGCTAAGTGCCCTCAAATTGTTTTCTGGTTTGGACTCCTAACGATCCTGGTAAAGGGTTTTTGAGGAGTGGCTGGTGGGTTTGAACATCCAACTGTGCTGTTTAACCCACTTGTGGTCCAGTGCATTATCCTGCAGTACCATACCAGGATTTTAGGGCTCCTACTATTGTTGTAAAGTGCCACTGAGTCGGTTCTGACCCATAGTGACCTTGTATAGGGTTTCTGAGGAGCAGCTGGTGAGCTTGAACCACCAACCTTGCAGTTTAAATGGTTTCGCAGTCTAGCACATTAACCCACAGTGTCACACACTGTTTTTAAGTGTTGTCCAGTTGATTTTGACTCATAGTGGTCATACATGAGTGGTTGGTGGGTTTGAACTGTCGAGCTTGCAGTTCAGCAATCCAGTGCTTATCCTAAAGTGTCACAATTAAGAGTCCTTCTTATTGTTGTTAAGTGTTGTGGAGTCAATTCTGACTCATATCAATCGTATATAGGGTTTCCAAGAAGCAGCTGGTGGGTTTGAACCTTGCAGTTAGTAGAAGTCTAGTGCTAATTCTACAGCGCCACACCAGAGCCCTGCTTTTGTTGTTAAGTGTCGTCAAGTCGGTTCTGATCCATAGCGATCCTGTGTAGGGTTTCTAAGGAGCAGTTGTTGAGGCTGAATCTCCGTCCTTGCAGATGAACCCAACTTTGCAGCCCAGTGCATTAACCCACACCACCACACTGGAACTACCCATGTATAAAACAAACTACCCACAATTCATAATCACTGTAAGATACTAGAGCACCAGTTCTTCTGACTTTGGTACTTGATGAAGTAGACCACAGTTGTTCTTGTTAAGGGCCACTGAGTCGGTTCTGGCACACAGTGACCCAGTACAGAATTTCAGAGGAGTGGCTGTTAAGTTTGAACTGCAGACACTGGGATTCAAACCGTCTTTGCTGTCCAGCAGTTCTTATCCTAGAGTGCCATACTAGGACAAAGGATGATATATTCTTATTTTAAGTTTAACCTAATCAAACCTTTAAAGGTCTAGTCTATAGAAAATATGAGAAAAAGGAATAATTAAATGATAACAAGAAGAAATAAATCTAGAACATGGTTTCTTTATCATGGGCATGAAAGAAAAAAAATAAGGGGGGAGAAGATCTGCATTAGATTAAAAGAAATGCAACAGATTTAGTCAACAAGTACAATTTATGAATGTGGTTCATCTTGATTCAAAGAAATTAAACAACAAAAGGAAATACTGAAATAACTGTGGAGATACAAATAAAGACAGGATGTACTCATATGTGTGGCACTATGGGCTAATGTGCGGGACTGCAAAGTCAGTTTGAACCTCAAGGCTGGCAGTTCAAGCTCACTAGCTGCTCCAGGGTCACTATGGATCTGAACTGGCTCAATCAATGGCACTTAACAACAGAAATGATTAACTTTGTTAAGTGTGAAAGGAACTGTTTTTATATTAAAAAAAAAAGTTTATTCAAATGAAAACTAATGCCTGGGAATCTTTTGAAATACATACTGAAAGGAGAAGAGATAAATATGACAAAAGTGTTGAATCTGGGTGATGAGTATACAGGAATTTATTACGAAAGCTTTTATTGTGAATTACGTGATAGTTTACATGGCAGAACATTAGTTTTACATACATCCTATCATATATTGTTTCATTGCCATGGTTACAATCCCCTCCATGTACCATCAAACAACCAAAGGGTATACCCTGCAACCCTGCCCCTTCAGTCTTCAGCAAACAGCTCCTCTCCCTCTCTCCACAACATCATCTCTGCCTACATCTCTGGTGTCACTGCTTCTCTGGGTAGGGTCCGGCACTCCGCTCTTCTCCCATGATGGTCACAGGGACCTCCACTCCTGGACTGCAAAGTCAACCAACTCCCCTCCTTTTGCTACAAAACATCTACCTTTACATTTCCAACCTTCACAGTCAGTCCTGACAGCAATTATTCACTATTGTACCACATGAGTGCTATCCCCATCTCCTTTCATCAGTTCTGCCCAGACAGATTGGATACTACTTAGTGGAGATTCTACCTTCCTCTGAGTCCTCAGGATCTAAGCTCCCTCTTGAAAGCTTGTAAGCCAGTCACTTCTTGCCTTTGTAGCACCCCCATTTTGTGTAGCCAATGTCCAAGTTGCCCATAGCTGTCTACCCTGTGTATTGAGGGGATGGGAATGATCCTCGCTGTAAAGATTTGTTCCTTCTTTTGAGCTACTTCATCCATAGGTATAGGTCAAGTTCATCAAATTGTTATCAGTTTACTCTTATTCCCCTTCTTCTAGTTGAGTTCTGATTATCCAACCATTTGAAGCCAGGTCAAGTGAGTATTATCTGTCAAGTGTGGGTGTTCTTGTGCATACTCCCTCACTTCTTATCCGCTGGACACGTCACTCTCCACTCTAGTCCTCTGTGGTTATGTCACTGACTCTGGGCCTAAGAGTTCCCAGGTCTTGCCACACTGATGGCCAACCAGGTCTCCACCCGGGTTCACAGGAGTCTATTGAATGTGATAGGACTTAGCTCACAGCTTCATTGCTGTTCTTCTCTTAGTTCCTCTTATTGGTGACCAATGTGGTCACCAGTCAGTCTGCATGTCTGCTTGTGTATTTCCCTTGAGTCTTAGTCTTGGAAGGCGTTTTGCCCTGAGGGGACCTGACCACTTGCCTTGATGTCTCCTGGGCAAGCAATTTGCTTGTTCTTATAGTAGTCAGTCAGACTACTAAATTAAATTTCTTTAATTAAATTTCTTTAATTTTTCTTGTCGGTCTTTCCTTTAAGAAGTATCTTCAGTTCTTCTAGCGGCTCCAAGCTGGTCTGCTTGTCCTTCAAGTGGAGATTTCCCACCTCAGAAGATTCTAGATGGGATTCAGGATTCCACCTAGTGTCTTATGCAATGCTGAGGCTCCACAGGAAGCCTCCTTCACTGGGCAAGTTCTAACCCCATTTTAGGTATTCCAGTTATAGGCAGAAGATGCACATACAAACTTTCTATGAAGATATTTCCAACTATTCCTTTTTCTCCCTCAAGTGTCTATTTTACAATGGTATGCAAGGGAAAGCAAGTTTCCAAAGACAGCCCAAGCATCTTAACATTGTTCCCCCCCTTTTACCCATTCAAACCATGCACCCCAGAGCCCTGTTGTGCCAAGGTTGTGCATACATCATTATTTACCTGTCCCTCATATAAAGGAATAATCTTGTTTCTTCAGTATACTGAGTTGACTGTTTTTAAGTGAGATCGAGTTGATTCGGACTCATAGCAACCCTGTATAGGGTTTCCGAGGAGCAGCTGGTGACCTTGAACCGCTGACACCTTGCAGTTCAAACAGCTTTGTAGTCTGACA